GCTCCACAAGTTTTAGTGCGGGTCTACCGCGAACGGTGTGTGACTTTGTATGTACACTGAGCGTAACAGCCATCGAATTTCTTTCGCTTTCATCTAGCGAGGAATTTTCCACGAAGGCGGCCGTTGCTTTAAACCATGCTCTCTAGGGTTCATTCTACGCATGCGCGTACACTTCACGCATGCGCTGTAGTTGAACTGCGTTTTGCGACTGAACGCAAAAAAAAACTAAAAATAAAAATAAAAATGGAGCCGAATTTATATCTCGGGCGTTTCCTTCGGAAAGCCCGAGTAATTACACTTAATTTTGTCATCAGTGCCCAAAACGGTTGGTTTAAGAGGATCATCCTTTGTAAGGTGAGGGGGATCTATACTGTCTGTTAAAACAACCAGCCCACCTCCCTCGGGCTATTTCACCTACCATGTGCTATTTGCTCCGTGTACTTACCCATGTATTCGGTTTTATCCTGTACCTCCGCTGACTCGAAGTGTTTTATACCTCGCAGGCGTTGCTGTTTGCAGCATGGGTGTGTATCATAAAGTACTTTGACATGGCCATTTTTAAAATCCAGCCCCCAGCAGAAGATTCTAAAGCCGATTTCTTCAAGGGACTCACAATCGTTTCCTGGGTGATGGTCATCCTCTTGGCCTTGACGTTTGTGCTAAGTTTTGACAAGCTTTGCAGTCGATCATCTCCCTGAACTCTGACGGTATGCCCTGAACAGTCTGTGATAGAGCGGTTTTCAATTGAGTGTCGAAAGTAATCAAGTATTTACTTTGGGTTTGGTTTTACTACGATTTAAGATTGGCCGAGTAGTCTGGTTGGTACGTAATTGGTATGGTTTTGGCCGTTATGACACTCAATTGAAAACTGCTCTATTTTGTCACAGTTAAAACTGGTTGAACCAGCTGAAAAATGCTTCAACTTTGAACCGTCAACCAAGGCATCTCAGATAATCAAAAATCTTTCGATTGATTTAAAGCCTGGAAAAATCTTTCGATAAAACGGAGAAGAATAATTCGAAAAATTGAAGTCTGAAAATATTCCAACCGTACAATTTTCTTTCTATTTAATATCGATCGGTCTTTTGCGTTGTTTGCAGACACTGCTTATCCAATTCTTCTTGTCCGTTTTATTGAGCGTTTGCTGTGCAATCATGACACCACATGCTACAGCTATCGACTATGGAAAGGCGTACAAGGATGTGTACAAGACATACAAGCCCAACGTGTTAGCCCTTCGGATTGGGCTGGTAAGCAGAATTCAATTGTACTGTTATAATGGCCTGTCCAGTTGCAAATTGTAACTTTGCCTCTTCAGCATTGGTTAAGAAGCCACGGGATGGCCTCTCCTATATTGTCTTTCAAAAAAAATCAGGTTTATTTATATAACGTAAAGAGTCTTATCTATTTATTTATTTATTTATTTATTTATTCATTTATTTTACATATTTATTTATTGAACGTAATTTATTTATTTAACGTAAATAGCCGACTACGTATTCTTTCCAGTTTTCAGCAGGAAATTCCTCAAAGACAGTTCACCTAACTGGGTTGCTATTCTTCTATCCAAGTACTCTTTTTGGACAAAAATGCATGGAAATTAATCAAAGCCTTCGTCCCAGCTAATTCCCTTACCCTGTACCACCTGTCGGAACAATCACTCTTTTTTTTGATTAAGAGAAATACTTACTTGATGACAGCTATTCAGAGTTTTAAAAACGTCCGTTCATTCTTGGTGTTTTGACAGGGGTTCGGTTACATTTCCTGGATAATTTTCATTGTGGACATCTACCTTCTTTACAAGTTGTACAGACAGCAAAGGGTAGAGGAGGTTTGTCATCCACAGCAAGCAGGCCAGCCAGGTGTCGTCCAACAGCCCGCTGTGGTTTTTGTCCCACAAGGCGCGACACAGCAAGTCTACCAACCGCCTACACATCCGGGACAGCAGCCAGTTCAATATCCGGGACAACAGCCTCTCCTGATGGGGATGCCTCCGCCAGCTTACAGTCAACAGGTTCCACAAGGAGAGACTCAGAAATAAAATATAACATTGCCTGCTGCCGAATTATGAGAAATCCGCCATATGCGGTGAGATCTAGTTATATTATAACTTAAAAGCATCCGGTGTATAGAAACAATGCCGTAAAAGAGAACTTAATTTTCAGCTTTTAGCATTTTTACAACCCGTATCATACAGGTCAGCAACAGGTAGTCACTTTAAAGCACAATGGCTGTTATACCATAACAAATATTGTCATTACATATTGTCATTACATATACATGCCAATGCTGCACAAATGTTGGTCAATGTTGGAACATTTGACGTTTGTAAGCAGAACAGCTCAGCTGCTTTACAAATCGGAACAATACGTGAAGAGAAGTTTTGGTAAATATAATGTATTACATCAGCGTGATTAGTTATATGAAGTTCTTTTGCATTCAGATCCGCAAGTGGTTAGTATACAGAGTTTTGCTTTAATTAAACAAAAAGAAAGCAGGCTACAAACACTGATTAGCATCCGATGGAACCTGTAGAAAGAAACTTGAGATGCGGCTCTATTGGGCTAAGGAGACGTCTCGTCTCTGATAGCACAGTTTAACTTTGAATGAACGATTAATATTCTTAGCGTAGCTTTTGTAGAAATCATCAATTTTATCAGGAGCCATAATCGGGGACGGAGACCGTAAGCGCGCGCCATTTCTAGTACTGGGGCTGTCCCAATGATATGGGACAATTTTTCTATTTTTAGAACAAATTGCGCCGTCCCGTGCGGCACACGCGCGTACATGCTGTGAGGATTTTTGCGGATGTAGCGCAGGGAAATGGCGTCCGAAATTCCCGAAATGTTTGATGCTTTTGGCCCACAAATCAATACTTTCATGTCTGTTGGAATTTTGCTTCAGTGTTTTCGTCGTAAGCTGCTCCAGTTTGGATGAAGTAAACAGTGTCAAATTTAGTTATGTGCCGCTTTACATCACTGACCAAGTTGTGTTCCGCAGCTTCTTTTACAAGGGCTCCACAGTAATCCACTCTAAGTTTCACATATGTTGAAGATTAACAGCTTTTCCAAAACACAGCAAAACACTAGTTGGATATATTTGGATATAGCCGCGTTTCAGGACTCCAAAGTTTCCCTCCTCTTGCCACACGCTTGCTAGTCTATCTCGACCGAACAGTAAAAAAAATATAATTGCAAGTTTGAGTTTCCCCTGAATTGTAAGCAACGCTTGATGTTTTACAAGGCCCAATAAGCGACGATAAAGTTTATGTCTGTAGATGCTGCTCAGTTTTGTTTGTGTAAAAATCCAATAAATTGACTGTTGTCGATGAATAAGAGGGCCCGCCGATGCGTGTTTTGTACAGTCAGTAAACATGACAAATTGGACTTCTACACTTCGTGTGAAAATTTACATCGAACTTACACGATATCTCTATAAGTTTTAGATATGTTTAAGGTTGATGAATGTTTGAGAACATAGTAAAAGCTTAGCTGAAAATATATGAATATAGCAGAAAAAATCAGCAAAGTTACGCTCACGCTTTCTTTAATCAACTTCAAATAACGATTTCGATTTTGTTGGTCGAGTTATCAAAACTTCTTGTCTATTTTATTTTCGCAGTGTCACATTTCACTACGTTGAAGAACAAAACATGATGTTAGTAGCCTTTTAGGGTTGGTGGAAATTGTTGGAGCATCTCAGCAGAAAAGATAACGAAAGAAATCTTTGTCAAGATCAGTTGACAATTGAAAACACCGATTCGGACTTGAAAGTGCAGGCGCTGCACTATGCAAATGAGCTACTTGGACGCGTTAGACTTTCCTTTCAAAAACCTTTGCAAACTCACCAAACAAGCAGAAACAATAAGAAACCATCATTGGGTATGATTAAGCATTGTTTGAGAAACTCACAAATTAACTCGACACCGGAGAAGAGAGTTTTCTTGCTATATCCTAAGTCAGAACAAACGTAAAAACATACGGGTAAGCTTACAACTAGCGCGAGCAGATCTTATTATTCATTCACAGCGCGAAATTGAAGTCTCGTTTCCGACCCTCTTTTATTAGCTCACATATAAGAGCCCTGGTTCTTAGTTCCTGCCTTATTCCTGCCATCGCTGTGAAAAATTCGCTATAGAATCTCGCAACTCTTACCATTTGATCACGCAACATGACAACATCCTCGCGAGAACCCACGACCTGTGCGTGGATTCGCGTGGATATATGTCGTCAGGGATGGCGCAATTTGTTCTACATAGAAAAATTGTCCCATATAATAGGTGCAGGCGGATCCCAAGACTTACGGTCTCCGACCCCGATTATGGCTCCTGCTTTCCTCTAAATGTCGCCTTCAGCAATCCCTTGGCAACTGCTCCAAGTCTGTAGTTAAGAAGGACCTCCTTCTATTCATATTGTTTATTTGGCCTTCTGTTTTGATTTTAAATCATCTCAAACTACACCAGGAGCCCATAACCCAAAAGCAGTGAAAAACATTGTATAGAAGAAAAAGTTATACTTCGGTTAACTTTTAATCCTGGGTTAGCGTTAACCGGCTTCCGAACAACCCGGCCCAGGGGCCCCGTTTCTCGAAAGACCCGGAAACTTTTCGGGCCCGTAAAGCCATAGCAAAATCTCGAACCTTACGATTGTAGAGCTGTTTTATTCACATATTCTTAATATGAAGAGAGGTTCCCTTTATACAAGAAGTTTCAGACGTATACACCCCTCTGTCTTTAAATACCGATTAACTAAATATGGCTTTTCGGGCCCGAAAAGATCCCGGGACTTTCGAGAAACGGGCCTTAGGTAATCGGTATTTAAAGACAGAGAGGTGTATACGCCTGAAACTTCTTGTATGACGAGAACCTCTGTGAGTATTAAGAATATATGAATAAAACAGCTCTGTAGTCAAAAGGTTTGAGATTTTGCAGCGGCTTTTCGGGTGGGAAAATTTTTCGGGACCTTCAAGAAACGGGCCCCAGATTACAACCAATTAACCTGACATGAGCCCACGATCCAATCGAAGACCACTACTTGGTCAGCGGTAAACTTTAAAACTTACAAGACCTCGATGAGCTCTAAACCTGAGCTTGCGATATGGTCAAGTGGTACTGGTCAGCGGATACCTTGGTTTGACAGGTGTCAATTGACCATAACACGGATGCCCAATGTCAAGTTGTAAACCAAGACTGCGCGACTTGATACTAGCTGGAGTCTGGCCGCCAGGTTGCGCGACGTCCTCGTCGTCGTTAAGCGCACGCGCGCGCGATCTACGATGCTAACCACGTTGACCAAGAAAAAAGAGTTACATGGGTTTCTTTTACTATGTATGCATGTGATTCTGTTCGTACAGTTATGGTGCTCCGCTTGGCAACCCTTCCGGCCGCCGGTGCTCTTCTATAAACTAAGGCTACATGTCTCTGTAAACCTATACTATTAGCCGGAGTATGGCCGCCCTCTTGCGCGACTCCGCCGCCGTCGTGCGTGCATTCCCACGAGCAATACCGCTAGCCATGATAACCATGAAAAAAATCAATTTATAGTTTCCTTTTCTTTCTTATATGAGTATGGGGCTCCGGTTGGCGGCCCTTAAATAATGGTAATTGAACTGAGTGGAGTGCAATTTGGTCTGAAATCATACGCGTGATTTCAAAATCGAACGAGCGCGCAACGCGAGTTCGATTTGAAATCAGAAGTATGATTTCAGATCAAAATTGCACTCCACTCAGTTCAATTGCCACTTTATTAGATCCATTTTGAAAT